TTAAATTTAATGTTGAAAAACTTTTAATCGATGAATTTATTATTGATTAAAATTATAATAGTTTTTTTTTTTTCAATAAAAATATTTAAATAGTTATGTTATTTATTTTTGATTAGATCAAGATAAACAATAAAATATTTATCAAAATTAATGATATTACCTTTATAGTCATAATTATTTATTTTATAATTTGAATCTTATTCATATTTAATGTCAATAATGTCATATATTAAATTTTAGAATTTTTTTATCAAAGGTTCATTAGAATTATATGTGAATACAAATAAAATTTTCTTTTCGTGATGAGTAATTTCATTATGTTAAATAGATTTTTCAATTAAACTTAAATTTACTTCAAATATTTTATTATTATTATTATTATTATTTAATGTAGAATTTAACTCAAAATGACAAAAAAAATATTTATGATTGAAAAAACTTAGATTTAACTTAAAATTTTGATCAAATAAATATTATTCTTTTTTTATAATTGAAATATAACAGTTAGTATTTTTATTTTTATATTCAATGATAGAAAACTATTTAATAGTTCAACTAAATAATTTACTTTTAATTCTGTTTTATTAATTTGATTTTGAACAAAGCCTTTAATATTTTTTATAAAATCTCGTGTATAAAAATTTGATTTTTGAACCTATTACTATATTATAATATTTAATATTTAGTGCTAGTCATATTGATTTAGGCCATATTATATTATTTATGGGTTTTAAATTTCAAATATATTGAACATCTAAACAACTTGATAATTATTCAGCAAAAGAAAAACTGATTGAAACACTTATATTTATTAATTTATCATTTAATACAAGATTTATTTTAGGCAAATCATAAGTATTTAATTAGTTTTTAATTTCACTTATCATATGTATTCAGAAATTTTATCTGTTAATATTTCACCATTTCCACCTAATTTAAATTTACATTATTTCTCTATATTTATTTAATAATCTTTAAAAGTGGGGTAATAAATTATTGGTTTATTACAAGTACAGTAGAACCTCTCTCATCCGCCCTCAACTGGTCTGCCTGATCCGACCATAGTATAATCGATATGAATACTATGTAATTTAAAAATACAATTTGGATTTTCTACTTTATAGAAGATATTATATAAAATTATTGCTAGTTTAATATTTCCCTTATCGCTTGTCCACTTTAGTACTCCGATCTCTCTCGTATCATTTCTATCGGTGTGCGTATTTTGAAATATTGCAGTGAAGTCTAGAATGTCATTTACTAAACAAAAATCTATAACTGACTTTTTTTCTAAGTAATGTAAAATATAATAAATTTCTGATATAATCTTGTATGTAATATGTAAATAAAAAAATATTCTGTATATTCTGATAATCCGACCTTTTTCACGTTTCGACCACACCCCCAGTGTCGAAGGTGAGGGATTATAGAGGTTCTACTGTAATGAAAAATCAAACGTTATGTTATAAATACCAAAGTATTTTTTATAAATTTTTATTTAAATTTTAATAACAAGAAGATTCAGTTTTAATATTGTTTATACAATTTATTGATACAACTATAGGTTCAATTTGTGTGTTTGATTGTTTAATAGTATATTTACTTTTTATATAATTGTACTTCATTTTTTACAATTTTTATTAAAATATTTAATATTAATCAAATTTAATACTATTAAAATTATTGATTCAAGATCTAAAATCAACTTATTGTTATTATTGAAAATTAGATGTGTTAAACAAATACAGCCGTTCTTAACTTCTATAAATGTAATTTATAAAAGTAAATAAATATATTTATTTTAAATTTATTCAAAATCTATCAAATGTATTGTTTTTTTTGTTAACTACATTTTTAAACCATTATAAATAGTGCTCGGATTAATATGTTCTAAAAACCTTAGAAATATGCACTATAAAATATGCATTTATGCTCTTATTTTATAGAAATATACCCTATAAAATAAAAATATGCAAAAAAATTGATTGAAAAAAGTCTTAAATTTTCATTAAATATAAATAAATAAAATCGAATGAAAGTTACACGCTCTCAGATCACGACAAACATGACTAATGTATGATTCATTAAAACTTACTCAATAAAAGATGACTGTCTCGATAGGTCTCAGATAAATTAGAAAACGACTTCGCCAAATTACATGGACAATAAATATAACTATAAATATGTTATTTTAATTAAAATAAGCAAAATATTATATTTTATGCATTTAAAAACCGTTGATATGCAATAAAAAATCATAAAATACAGAAATATGCATGTCAAAAAAATGACAAAATATGCTAAATAAAACTTTAGATTTTGGATCTATTTATTACAGATCAAACTTGAAGCTTACCTAGCTATTTTTTGGCCTGTTCAGAAAAACATGCAAACGCATATAAGTCTGAGCCTTAGTTATAAATAAGATTAAAACAATTAGATTTTGTTTAAAAAATTACATTATGTTATCATATTTCCTTTTGTAAAAGCATTTTAATATCTATCAGATAAAAATAAAAATGTGTAAACAAAGATAGATGTCAAAGTTTACTCGTAATATTAAACATCAAACATCAATGTTTATAAGTTTATGTTTATGATTACACATTACACAACTGATTATTTTTTAGAACGAACACACTAAATTTTATCATTAATTTTTATTTATGTTATTTACATGATGACAATATTACTTATTAAAAACATTTACAAGATGTTACCTTATTCATAATATAATTATACTAGGTATTTAAATATAATTAAACATTAACTATAATGTGTTCAAACATTGTAGTATGATTGGTTAGGAGCGCAGTAAAGGTTAATATATAGGAGTGGGCAATATTATTTTGCACTTATTTTAGTGTTATAATTATATTATGACAAATACATTTTATTATTAATCTTATTTGTACTTTAGTAGTATTGAACTAGGTATTTCAATAGCATTTTAAATTATTTTCAACACTTAGAAATAAAATAAAAATATTGAACAGGAAATTCAAACATTTAATCTTCCTGCCACAAACAAATTTTTAATTTCGTCCTAATTGAAAAATAAATTCTGACCAATAAGTACTAAATTAATATTTATTTCATTACAATCATCCAAAAACATAACTACTAGGACAAATACATTTATATTTACAAAAAAAAACATATTTTAAATGTATGACAAAAATAAGTTGTTGAATGAAACACAATTTTGCAGAGACAATGTTAACCTAACTATCTAAAAATAAAATACGTAACTTATGATTAAAGCCCATATTTATATGCATTTTCATGTTTTTTCTAAACAGTCCAAAAAATAGCAAATTAAGCTTCAAATTTGATTTGTAGTTAATAGATCCAAAATATAAAGTTTTATTTTGCATATTTTTGCATATTTAGTCATTTTTTAACATGTACTGCATATTTCTATATTTCGCGATTTTTAATGCATATATACAGTTTTTAAACGAATAATATGTAATGTTTTGCTTATTTTAATCAAAATAATGTATTTATAGTTATATTTATAGTCCATGTAATTTGACGAAGCCATTTTCTTATCTTATCTGAGACCTATTGGAAACAAGTAGTAATCTTTAACGAATCATACATTAATCGTGTTTGTTATGATCTGAGTGTGCGTAACTTTCATTCGATTTTATTTATTGAAAATAAAAGATTTTTTTTTTAACTGATTTTTTTAGATATTTTTAATTATATAGGATATATTTCTATAAAATAAGAGTATAAATGCATATTTTATAATAAATATTTCTGAGATTTTTAGAGCGTATAAATCCCCGCCCCTATTTATGACCAATAAGTAATCAATACAGTAGGTAATTAATAAAATGTACTTTTGATATATTAATTTGTTGTAATATTTGTAATTTTGATTACTTACAAAAAAAACCTAAATCACTGATACAATTACTAATACAACAAACTATTCACAAAATATTTTAACGCCAGGTGGTTAAAAAAAAAATTGATTAAAGCCCTTGCACCAATGCTACCGATGAACAATCATTTTTAGAGCTTTGAAATGTTAAAAATTATTTAAGATCCACCTTATCTCGTGATAAAATAGCTTCCCGTTCATTGTTATTAATAGAAAATAAGATGCTTTGAACTATTAATTGGTCAAATATTATGTAAGAATTTTTGAACTAATAATAAAAAAAAAAACAATAATTTTAACACTGTTTTATGATATTTGTAATTTAAATTATTTTATGTGTGTATATATTATAATAATATGCATAATATTATTTTATTGTTGATAAAGATAGGTACATTAAGCATGACACAAATCAATGTTTAATATAAACTCCATAATAACTACAAATATAGGAGTTAATCATTATTTATTGGTTATTGAAATATAAACATTTTACATAATAAATATTCCATCTTCCAGTAATATTAAAAGAAAATTTTTACGTAGCTATAGTATTTGTATGAACTGGAAAAGTGTAACTGAAACACCAAGTGTAACGAGGACAATTCTTAAGTTGTTCATAAAAATGTGATGGCTTAAAAAGTTCATTATCTTTATTTCTTAAAATATTAAAAATTTGTTTAATATGGTAGGAAGATTAAATGTTTGAGTTTCCTGTTCAATATTTTTATTTTATTTCTAAGTATTAAAAATAATTTAAAATACTATTGGATTACCTAATTCAATATTACAGAAGTACTAATATGAATAATAATAAAATGTATTTATCATAGTATAATTATAATACTAAAATAAGTGGTCTATGGTAACCAAGATGTATTTTAGAATAAATCTGTACACGTATTTCTTTGCCACATTATACACATGTTTTTTTTTTTTTTTTAAACACTAAACAATTATAGGTACTACAAATTTTTTGAACAAAAAATCTAACTGAAACTTGAAAGTTAATAAAAATTACAAATAACAAATACAATATAATATAGTAATTATTTTTACTATTAATACTATTAAAAACAATAATTTAAATTCCTAAGTCACATACCTTAACTTTAAAATAACTTTCTAACTTCATACAGCTGGAAATGCAATCCTTGATTTTATTTTTATTTTGCTTGGCCAAATTTCTAATTTTTGCAACACCCGACACTTTTGAAAAAAATGAATAAACAATTTAAAGTAAAAACAAACTAAATCGACGACAAAATTTCACTACATAGATGCGTATTGCATAGCTACTAACTAGTGCAATTGCCAATTAGCGACTGTGGACGTAGAGGATAATACATATTTCATTATTTCATAATAATCATAATATTATCAGGATTATAATTTATAATAACAATAATACACACAACATTTACGGTCAAACGGGTATGATTAAAAATAGAATTTTATTTCCACTCCGATATAGAATTATTCTCTCCCGTATCATTTATCACAAAAAGTATGATTGTAAAAACTATATAACAAATACACTACTCTAATATTCTTTATACTATCACAGTATCACAAGTCACAACTATTCGTATACACTACCACAATATATTAATATAATTATCTGTATGCGTGTTTATGTATAAAATATTATTACATAAACGTCTATATGGTATATATAGACATACAGTATAGTGTATACTATGAAATAATTTTGTATATCTTTATAATGCGTTCAGTACATTGTTATAGTTATTATTTTATTAATAATAGTTGTTTCTCAAGTCTGTTTTTTCCATAATATGATATATCATACAATTTTTATGATTTTTTTTTTGACTCTTTGTGGAGTGAAAAAGCTGATTGTATATTATACACAAAAAATAATTTACAAAAATTTACCGCCCCAAAAAACCTTGGTCTGAGACATATCAACTATCTATAATTTTAAGTTTTGACCATATAGTAAATTTATATTATTATTAAAAATCATATTTACTAAATTAAAAAGTAATATTACATTTAATTTTTCTAATTCAAGATATGAATAATTGTGTATGGTATTACATTTATAAAAAAAATAATGATCTAATACTTTTAATAAGTACAAAATTCTACAATTTTTACTAAGAATTCAATATTGTTGGTTTGAATAAAAATTAAATAAAAAAAGTGTAACTTATTATATAATGTTTGGAATTTCAGGTTTAAAATAATGAATTCAAACAATGATGATATTGGAAATGTTGACTTTTTTTCAATAAAAAAATGTCGTCTTTGTCATCGACAAATAAGTGGAAATCCAAAAATCCTGAATTGTCTTCATTTTATTTGTGAAAATTGCATTACAATAAATAGTACTGATTTAGGTAAACCTAACTTTGTTTTATTAAACAATATTATAAAGTTTAAAATTACTTAAACCTTAAAATTTGATTTTACCTAGGTATACGGTGTGAATGCCACATATATACTAAGGATGAACTCACTAATTACCCAAATGGATCGCAGGTTAAAATATGTTGTGAACAAAATTGTGACATGATAGCAAATAAAATTTGCATGCCTTGCAATAGCATATATTGTGAATCATGTTCAAAGGTTATCTTAAATTTCTTTATTAAATATAAAATATATATTTTTTTAATCTAAAATATGTTTTATTTTTTTAATTTTATAGATACATCTGAGCAATCAACAAAATCATCAATCTGCCTTAATAATGACTTATCCATTGGAAAAAGTAGTTTGCATACAATGTATTGAAGTAAGTTTTTACTATAAATACCTACTTATATATTTTACTTAGTTTATATAGAAGTAAATATTTTTACATGACATGTATTTTTATTATTTTGTTTTAGAGATATGTAGAAGTATATTGTACTAAATGTTCGGAAATAATTTGTTCTCTTTGTAAATTAAAATATCACGAGAACCACAATTTCAAAATTATTACCACAATGGCCAACAAATCCAAGTTTGAATTTGACATAGAGTTATTTGAAATAAAGTATAGTTAAAAAAATTATAGTAAACAATGTTTAATTTTTAGTACCTATTAAATAATATATTCTAAAATTATTTTTATTTTACAGAAAAAGTACTGAATTTTTAAATAGTTGGATAGAAAGATCAAATCAAACTATTGAGAAATTGACATCTCAAAAGATTCAAACTTATGACAAAATTGATAAAACAATGCGTGTGTAAGTTATGAACTTTGTAATAAAATAAAAATTATTTTGTTTATTGTTTTTTCTTGATTCAGGTTACACAATACAATTGATAAATGTTCAATCCAACTAAAAAAAATGCTTGAAAAAAAATTAGATAGAGCTGTTGATGAAATTAATACTAATAAAGAGATTCTAAATCATTTAAAAAAAGAAAATGATAATCATTTTGACTTATTAAGCATTTTGATCAATCAAGATGAAACGGTTGATATCACTAAACATACAAAGTATGTTAAATTTAAGTTAAATATTTAATAAAAATGTGCAGATAAATAAGATTAATTTATTTTAGATATGTCGTAAATCGAATGAACGTTAATAGAAGTTATACTGATATTATGGAGGGAGAAATAGTGATTTCTTTGGCTTACAAAGATGAACAATTCCTGAGAAATTTTGCTAAATGTAAGTTAATAAGCATATTAGTACATTAATAATATTCATAAAATAATAAATATATTTTTTTAGTACTTGAAGGAGTTAAAAATGTTATTTCAATAAAAACTGATAAGAAAAAGTTAACAAATAAAGCTCTTCAAGTTGATGTAAGAATCTGTAAGAATATTGTAACAATAATTTTTGTTTTAATATTATTCTAATACTGATAATTATGCTGATTTTATTTTATTAGTATACATTTAAGCTTATACTGAATCTTAAGATTCAAAACTTCAAAGCATGATTTTTTTTTAAACAATTATGCTTATTTTATTGGCAAAATAAACAGCTTTTATTTAGTAATCAGATTTTGATTATTTGTATTAAAATATTCTATATCATACACATGTGCATAACTTATAAATATTTGTTTTGACTATATTATTTTTAGGAGCCTCTCAAATCAAGTTCTGAGATACAGGATAACATGGAGATTGTTGAGAATAAAAATATAGTAGATATAAGTAAAGTATTAACTACTCAAAATTTAGATTTTAACAATACTGATGCTCATATTAATAATGATTAATTGTTTTTAAATTTATATTTTAGATTTTGATAGTCCAAAGTTTATATCACTTGCAATATGTTGCTGTTGTAATCAATTAACAAATAATCTAATACACTGCGTTAATTGTCAGAGGTTTTATCATAATAATTGTCATATTCCTCCAATAGATAAGGATCTTAAACCTAACCAGTACTTAATACTTAAAATTATTTATTTATTTTTATAATAATTGTATTTAACTTTTTATAGTCCATCATTGAAAAAATGGAATTGTACACTTTGTCAAAACATTGAAACACATGTCATTGCATTATACAAAAAGGATTTTACAGATTATAATATAATTAATAATGCCGAACAAAAAGTAATTGAACGTATATTATTGGAGTTATATTGTCAATATATTTACAGTAAATACTATCAAAATTGTTTGAATAGAGATCAAGTAAGATTTATGAATATAAAATAATTGTTAATGAGATAACATTTTTGTAAGTCAAAATTAAATATTATGTATTTTAGTACCCATTGTATTATGAAAAAATTAATGATCCTATATCACTCAATGATATAAAACGGCATTTAATAACATATGCATCGTATATATCAACCATTCATGCACTTAGGGATGTACAAAAAGTGTTTAAAAATGGAATGTCATATTATTCAGTAAGTATATTGTTGATAAATTATTTTAAACAATATTTATTCTCACAGAACTCATAACAGCATGGTTCAGTAGCTAAGTACATGAAACTTGTTCCCAGCATATATTATTTATGTCGCCGAAAATAAACCATGCATAATTAAATAACAATCACAATATTATATATTAGTATAGGTATATAAGAGATGAAAATTTAAGAAAAAATATTGGCAAACTACCTATAATATTTTATTTAAATTAATTGTAAACAATATTAAACGTATTTGTATATGTTTGTTTTGGTATTTCATTATCAAAATAACAAAAATAAATTTTCTCTATTTACTTCTGAATTGAAATAACATCTTTTTTAATTTTATATTGTCATTTAGCATATAAAAAGCATTAGTTTTACGTTGTTCAATGAAATACTAAAGAACTGTTTAATTACAGTCTAATATATACTTGTGTCAATTGTATAATATTTAGTATTTTACATTATAAAAAATAATTAAATATTAGTACCGGTTTTACAAATAAATAGGTAAAAAATTGATTTTTCATTAAATAAAAAAAAATAATTAAATGGTAATAATTGTATATAATTATTATTAGTTCATTATTAATTTAATTTTATACATTTTATAAGTTTTAATATTATATTTTAAAAGATTAATTATGTTTATATATTTCATGGTTCATATTCTATATTTTTATATTATTATATTATTAAAATTTGTGAATTTTTGAGCATTCTTTATAAACTTGTTCAAAAATTAAAAATATATTTTATTAATATTTCTAATATTTGTTTTTAGCCAAGTGATCCTGAATATAAGTCTGCAGAAGAACTTCAGATCTTTTTTTATAGAATGTTAACTAATTGGATACCAAACCTTGACATTGCGTGTCTACAATAAAAAAATAACAACAATCAAGTAGTTGACAATTAAGGTCTATCGACATAATATTATGTTAGTGACCATTAAAGATTTTTAAAGATTTATTTTAATGCTTAATTATATTGTAGCATTTATAAAAACTTAATGAAAATTTAAGATTATTTAATGTTTATTATTGATGTATAATTAGTTATTTTATTGATATTAGTCGTATTTTATTTAATATGTATATACTTATATTAATTATTGTAAAATGTATTTAATTTTTCCATTATAATTTTATGGTGTATAGCTAAAAACACTTTCAAACACTTTAATATAATTTTAATTTTAATTTATTAGAAATCACATGTAAATAGTTCTATTAAAAAAGTAAATTAATTAAAATAATCTTATTACACCTATATTTATTTGAAGAAATAGGGTATATGTGTTTATTTATAATTTGTTGCTATGAACATTTAATTTTAATTTTGTAAAATATAAAATAAAAATTAAATGATAATCATTAAATATAATTTTAATTCAGTGTTTGTAAGTTTATTATTAGTATAGTTTAGTCAAATTTATAGGTTTAAATTTGTATTAAGTAGTTATATTATTTATGTATTCCATAATTCATACTTACCATAATAAAATATTGAAAATAATGAACATGTGAGCATTCTTTATTAACGCACTCAGAACGGGTTATGTGTTTCATAAAGTGCGTGATTTTTAAACATACAATAAATCAGCCAAAATCATAAATTAATTCAACCTTTTTATTTTATTACACTTAAAATACATTTGATATAATGTTCAAAAATTATATCCACCATATATCCACTTCCACTGTTTCTACAGGCCGTCATTTCCAGGACTTACGTTCATACTCTTTTTCATTACTGCAATGTTTGGCTATGTACAAATTATATGGTTAGACTTGGACTATTTTGTGTTTCAACTGAACCAGTTTGTTCAAATTTCCATACTAACCCTAGAGCTGTTGATATAGTAGAAACTTCTGCACGTCTAAAAGTTATGTAAAGTTTACATCACAGCTAAGCACTCACCATTTTTGTAATGTGTTTTCAGTATGAATTATGACTTATAGGTGCTTAGCACTCCCAGGCTTCAAATCAACGCCCCTGTTCCCTGTAAAATTTATTTCAGTATTTCACAAATTATTTGAAAATTATTGTTATTTATTGTGTTGAAATTTTTTTATTTTCATTAAAAATAGACATTATGTAGTTTATGAATTCACGATTAAAAATATATTGTATGAATGAACATTTCACTGTTTTAGTTTTCACCAAAATATTAAATAATAAACAGCAATCACATAATATGTTATATTCTTATCTTACTTTATATTTTTATCTTACGGTTCACAGTTGATTACAATATTATGTTTTATTTGTAACTTTAATTTTTACTGATATTTAAACATTTTAAACTGCGAGTTACGCTGAATTGATTGTGAAATGACAAATTTTATTAACTATCATACAGACGATTTGATTTGTTGCAATTTATATTTTACATGCCGGTAATGAATAATGATTTTACCTACTTTCCAAGTTACACATCAGTATGGATCAAGAAAAATTTACTCTTAGCATTGATAGAGATCTTACCAGCAAAACAGATGTAGAAATCATATTGCAAAAATTTGCATTATCAAACAGAAAAATAAATCTTGTTTAACATTAATTAGTGGTTACATATTATTATTTATATAAATTACAAATTTATAGTATAAATACTTTTGAATCTTTTTTTTTAATATTAATTTTAAAAAATTAAAATTATTGCAATGCAGTTTATTATGATATTGGGAGAGGGGTGGAGGCAAAAATCCCACGGATCTGTGTACCATTAATTTTCCAGCACTCTCTAAATTTACACCTAATGTGTGCCTACTGCCTATGACTATAAATATACGCTGATGGTTATTAAATCGCTCCATGACAATTAAGTTCAATAAAAACGAATAACCTTAGAATCGGAGTGATAATAGATGACAAAAATAATTAAAATATGGTTGACAACCTTAAAAAAATTGCACACTTTATGAAACACCTTTTATTTTTTATAATATTTTTATTCTTAGATTAGTAATCGATAATATAAATCTAAATATGAACTACAGAATGTTAGCTTTATGGTTATGAAAAATTGACATAGCATGTCTACAATGGTCAAGAATAATAATTTAATACAAGTAGTCTATATGATATATTACTTTGGTAACTATTAAGGTTTTTTTTTTTTTTTAAGATGTAATATAATACTTAACAAAATATTTGTTTATTTAAAACTAAATGACATATTTATGTTATTAAATTTTCTTTGTTAATGTACAATAATTATTCAATCTAATATTAGCAGTTTTATTTTAGTTTTATCCATGTATAATGTAAATATATATTATTTTACTATTGAAATTAGTTATTGTAAAATGTACTTTATTTATCTATTATATTTTTATGGTATATAGTTTTTTTTTAATAATACCTTACCTCAACCCTCAGCTGTGATTAATTATCATCGGTAATCAGATATTTTATCCTCAATCTTCTAACCAAAACCTGAACTTAGTAATAAAGCCATTCCACGTGCACAATTCTATCACCAAGGTAGGTTTTCTTTTGAACAGACTATGGCCACAAACACTTACAAACATTTAAATATAATTTATTAGTGATAACTTCTGTTAATTTTTCAATAATAAAAAAAAAAATTAATTAAAAAAGTGTTCAATGCATCTAAATTTAATTGAAGTAATGTTAATAATTTGTTGCTATTGACATTGCACTGTATTTCCTGAACTTCAAGAGGATCTAGTAGACATGTTGAATAAGTATAAAAGAAAGGTCAAGATAATGACCAAACATAGAAGAAAAAAATTGGATTAAGAAAATTGTTTTGAATTTGATTTTTTTGGTATTCCCTGATGACAATGAAAAATGAAAAACGAAAAAATGTGTTCAAATTTCTAATTTTACATAATGTTGAGCATAATTTTAATTGTTCTCGGAACCATTTTTTTCTAATTGAGTTCATTTGAGCCAATTACATTACCAGTGGTAAAGTTTAATTGAATCCATTATTTATTTTCTACATCAATTTATTATTATTTATGTTTTCTGTTCCACAAACAAAAAACTCACAATTGCTCATTTTACTTTTCACATACGACTACTTAACAGTTAACGTAGACATTAGAGAGATATGCCTCGATTATATCATATAGTTTTAATTGTGTTGTTTGGAAAAAGTCTATTATACAAGTAGTTTAGTTATTGACACTTGTGTATTTTGTGTATGGTTATTGAGTATTTGAGTAATTAATTAACATTAATAAATGCACTGATAAAGTTTGTAGATTCTGTACCTAAAATTATTTCAGATGTTAAAAGTTAGTTTTCAATTATTAATTACCGATTTGAGTAAAAAAATATCATTACTGTAATCGATACCTAATCATGAATCATGCATGCTCTGTAATCCGTAAATTTTAATAACATGTAAATTATTATAATATAGGTACATTGCTATTCATTGGGTTGAAAACCACCATTATTTTATTATGTTCTAGACTAATTCATAGTTCAGTAAGGTATTATAACTAATTTTACTTATTTAGACATCTGTGTATCTTGTGAAGTTGTGTATCTACAATATGAATATTGGAAACAATTAATTAATGAAGCTTATGTTAACAAGTGGTATAAAACACCTAATATAATAATTTAAATTGAAATACTTTGTGTAGTTATTATTAGATGTATAGCCTTCAAATATATAATATATTGTATATAATTATAGGAACTTAGTATAACAATACTATTTAAATTTTTATTAACCTATTCTACTTAGTGATTTTAATTTGTAAAAATTTGTATCATGGATGTAGATTTACAAGGTGTCTTAGAAAAACTAATTTCTTAAAAATATTTTAATTTAAGAAATTTAGATTAAATGAACCAAGATATTTGAAGCATAAAACTAATCAACTATCAAATTATTGAAAGTTCTGTAAGACAACCTTTACATAAATTGAATTTATCAATAATAATTAATAGTACCATATAAAATCAATAAAAATAATATCAACATACTTTTCATCATATAAAATCAGGGGTGAGGAAATGTATAATATATTTACATACTAAACATTTAGCATAAATTAAATATCATTTAAGTAATAGTAATTTAAAATAATAACAGCTCATATAGGTGTGGTAAAATATTTAATTGTGTTTTAAAGTTTATATCATAAAATGTATAACGAATTTTTTTTTATATGTTTAACAATGTAACAACATGAAAAACAATAGATGTATTTACAATTATAAAAAAAAAATATATCAAAAAATATTTATTACCAGAAAAAAATTTTCCACTTCAAATTTTCATCAAAGAAAATAATACTAAGTGCAACATTATTTAATTGAAACAATAACAATACACGATGGTTATTAATTTAAAATAAAAATAGAAACACTTAATTCTGATTTTCTATGTATTATAATTTTGTTCATAAGTATTCAAGCCATTATTACACCACATTTTATATGTTATCTAAATCATAATTTTGAACTTAACTTAAAATACACATTTGAAATATAAATTAAGTTCGATTTTATTGTCTGTATTATTGATCCGGTTCAAGTAATAGTCTGACTAGTTTGATACAAATTTAAGTTTATAAAGGAAGTATATTTTAATTGTACAAAATTCAACAGTTGAAATTTAAGAGCGTAAAAAAATGTAATTTGTGTCTTAAATAATTATCAACTTGAGTAATAACTTGATAAAATTAAGCTTATTCAGCAAATATTTAAAAAGAGAAAAAAAAATCAGTAGTCAACATTGATCATTGATTCTCTTCCTTGACCAACTCCAACCCATTTAACTGAAATAAAAACAACACATACATATATATATTTTAATTTATAGCAGTATTAATATTGATAAAAATGTTTTTAATTTATTACTATGAAACAAATAAAAATATAATATAATAT